TGGCGCACCAGCTGAAACTGGCGGAGGTGCGCGCGCGGGGTCGCTGTCCGGGTTTGCTTTGTGTAGTCAGCAAGGGTGTAGTCAGCAAGGAATGCAAGGGATGCGGAGCATTTGCGCGGGTGGGAAAAGCACTTACGGTACACACGCACACGGCGGAGAGGTCATGCTCATTTAGGATTGTCACACGACGCCGCGAACCCACCAAGCCCTAACCTGCCCGGGTGCCCCACTTCACCCCGCCGTGGGCACGCACGACGACACGCCCGGCTGCACGTCCGTCCTCCTTCCCCCGCCCTTCCCTTGTCCTCTCCCTTCCCCTCCGTCCCCCTCCCCGCCCCCCAAAATCTTCACTCTTGGCCCACCCCAAACAAAACCCTGCACTCTTGGCTCCCTCGCGCCCCAAAGGCTCGCGGCGCGCTGGCAGTGGCGGGTCCGCCTCCTCCCTCTGTGTCGGAATGGAGCTTCAGGGAGGAGCGGTACGAGCAGTACCTGGAGGACGTACTGGAGGTACACACGGGTACGTGGGTACGGCACCCGTACAGGACATCGTATGGTACCCGTACTGTAAGACATGGTACCTTCACGTTTTGGTTTGTACTGCGTACCGCATGTGTGGGTTCGCGTGCAGATCGGGATGCACGCAGGCGGGTGGACAAAGGGGGGCCTCCCTGCGTCTCTGTACCGCTGTACCGCTGTACCACTTCAACGTTGTGGCCCTTCACATTCCGCACTCCCGGCGCACCCAGCCCAGCCCCGCCCCGCAGGCACCAGCCCAGCGGCCTGACGCCTCCTCGTCCCCTCACCTACCCCACGCCTCCTCACCTACCCCTCGCCTCCTCGCCTTCCCTTCCCCCACCTCCTCGCCCTCGCCCGACCTCGGCCTCGGCCCCCACCACCCGACCTCGGCCTCTCACAGCCCTGGAGGCGGCCCTGCTGGAAGCAACCGCCGCCGCCGCCGCCGCCACACCCAGCGCCACACCCAGCGCCGCCTCCGGCAGTGCCGGGCCCGCCAGCACCAGCACCGCCACCGGCGGTCGCTCTGATGCCGCCGAAACATCACCATTATCGTCGGCAGCGGCGGCGGCGGCACCAGCGCAAGGTGCTGTACATGCTCTACGGCACCTGGCTCCGGGGGTACTGGGCCTGGAGAGGAGCGCCGCCATCCGGAGGGACCTTGCAGCGCTCCGAGCCACCGCCGGGCACCACCACCAGGAGCACGACCACGACCACCAGCCGGTGTTGGAGGCGCGACGAGCCGCGACGGTGGCGACGGAAGGCGCGGAAGCCGGCGGCTCCAGCAGCGGCGGCGGCGGCGCGGCGGCGGCGGTGAATGTAGCGGAGTCGAGTTCGGGATTGGGGCTAGGAACAGCAGCAGCAGTGTCGTCGTCGTCGTCATCAGCGGCGGGGCCCATGGCTCGTTCCTACGCGCAGGTGCTGCGGCGGCTGGGGCGTACGGCGACCTCCGGCGAGGGGGAGCAGGTATTAGGGGCAGCTGCAGGGGGGGTCAGGTCGGGTAGGGTTTACGGTAGGGTCGGTGGCTCGGGTCGGTGGCGGCAAAATGCCGGTGCCGATACTCTCGGTTGAATGTCGTACCAGTGTCGTACCTTTCCTGCACCTCCCCGCTGCACTCCCGGCCTCAGCGATCGGTCCCCGCTTCCCCCGCATCCCGGGGTGGGTGCCGCACAGCGCCTCGATCGCTGTGCCATGTTCAGCGCCCCCCCCGGCCCCCCGTTAAAGCTTGGTGCCCTCTTTCAAGCTTAGCGCCCCCCGGCCCCCGGCCGCCCAACTGCCCTTTGGCTGCGCCTACACCCCTCCTTCCGGCCGCACCCGCCCCCGCGAACCCGACCCCGGCCCCGCCCCCGCGTCCGCTCACTCACTCGCTCACTCGCTCACTCACTCGCTCACTCACTCGCTCACTCACTCGCTCACTCACTCGCTCACTCACTCGCTCACTCACTCGCTCACTCACTCGCTCACTCACTCGCTCACTCACTCGCTCACTCACTCGCTCACTCGCTCACTCGCTCACTCACTCACCTCACTCGCTCACTCGCTCACTCGCTCACTCGCTCACTCGCTCACTCACTCACTCACTCGCTCGCTCACTCGCTCGCTCACTCACTCACTCACTCACTCACTCACTCACTCACTCACTCACTCACTCACTCACTCACTCACTCACTCACTCACTCACTCACTCACTCACGCACTCACTCACTCACTCACTCACTCACTCGCTCACACTCGCTCACACTCGCTCACTCGCTCACTCGCTCACTCACTCGCTCACTCGCTCACTCACTCGCTCACTCACTCACTCACTCACTCACTCACTCACTCACTCACTCACTCACTCACTCACTCACTCACTCACTCACTCACTCACTCGCTCACTCGCTCACTCGCTCACTCAGGAGCGCAGCGGCGCCGCACTGCGGCTGCTGGCTCACGCGGCGGTGCTGCACCTCGTGGCTCAGGCGGTGTGGGCGCGTGTGGGGGCGGCGGCGGCGGAGCGACTGGCGCTGCTGCAGCGGCGGGCGGCGGCCACCTACCACGAATACCCGCAGCAGGTACGGCATCCGGCGCCGGCACCGCCTCTTGAGGGCAGGGCCGCTGCTCCCCGCCCGCAATTCTCAAGCGGCATTGGCGGCCTTTTATTCAGCGCGCGGCTCCCCAATTCGTGTCCTTTACCGTGTCCATTTTGCCGCCTTTTCTGCCGGTGGTTATTGGTTGGTGGTGGTTGGCTGGTGGTTGTCCGTCCCGGTTCGAACTGTTTTCTGCCGACCACGATAACACTACAGCAGGACACGACACCGACCGCGTGGGCACCATGTACGACTGTGACGCAGGTGACCGATCCGCGGGTCAGGCTCTCCCGCGCGCTGGACGGCGCCGGCGAGCACCTGCACAGCCCCGCCGCCCGCCAGGTGGTGTACGACGAGGTGGCGGGCGCCATGCAGAAGACCGGCCTGCTGCTCAGCGCGCTTGCACACCGGGAGTGACCCGATGTGCCAGTGCAGGGGTGTGTGGAGGCGGTCCCATCCGAGTGTGTGTGTGTGTGTGTGCCGAAGTTGGAGTGGCGGTCAAGGCAGTTGCAGAAAAAAGCTGAAACATCGCCAAAAAAATGTGCGCCTGAGCGTCATCCGTCATGTTGTTACATTGTTATGTGTATCTCCCCCCATCGATGGCCTGGTTTGGATCAGCGCGCGGGGGGAACCGCGGCGACTCTCACTGAAGGGGGGGGGAGTGCGTGATCGTGTAAGGCAGTGCGCATGAGTTCACACTGAGCACTGAGCGTTTCCCGGAATAGGGGGGGTCTGGACTCTGGAGCCCGCTGTCACAACGACGACGAGGACAACGAGGACAACGAGGACAACGAGGAGTCGCTTCGGCCGCCACGCACCGGGTTCGGGTCGGGCAGGTGCGGTGCGCACCGGCAATCTTTTCGCTCCCACTAAAAGAACCCACTGATTGAATTACAGCCATTTATTATACCACCGGTAGAATATTGTTGGCTTCCCTGTGAAAAAGAAAGGCTCGATATTAAACGAGCGGTGCGGAGCTGCTCCGAAGGTTTAGCGAGGTTGCAACACCGGCGCGCGGTTCCAGGCAGGAGTCCCACCAGGTGGGCATCACCACTTCATCAGGTAGCATCGACGAGGCACAAGGCTGGGAGGGAAGGGGCCTGGCTGGCTGGCTGGCAGGCTGGCAGCGTCGCGGCCGCATGCGTCGGTTCATCGACAGACGACCCTTTGGACGCCTCTCAATTTTTCGCGCGACCGCGCTGCCTTCCGTTTCACACACGGAGTCTTGAGTTCCTTGAGAGAGGACAGACAGACAGACCAGGGCGCCAGCACCCGGGGCCACAGAAACGCAGATCAAGGAATTCGGGCAGCCCTGGGCAGCCTCGCCTCGTCTGTACCTCGCGTGCCACTGCTTGCCTCAGCGACCCGATGGAATGTACCGTTTTATCGCATCGTTTCATCGCAAACCCAGATCCGTCATCGGTGCCGCGAGCGCTGCGGGTGACGTGTGACCACAACCAAGAACCAACTCAGCCGGTTGATTGTGGTTGAGGACTTGAGCATCAGCCGACATGCCAAATTGCGACCTCCTGAATTGCGACGTTGATGAATACGCCCATCTGTGTATTGCGTCTGGCTCCGTCCTTCCCCGGCAATCGATGTGCACATGTGCATCAGGCCCCACAGCTGCTGCCAACAAACTGCTTGACTGCCTGCCTGCCTGCCTGCCTTGGTCCCAACTCCGAAGGCAGTAAGGAAATCGTGGAAGGCGAGGATGGCAATCCTGTAAGTTTTCGGCCTCGAGCAACCGACAGGAGCAGCCCAAGGGGTCCCCCACGGGCCCCCGAGGCCGTCCCCGCGGGTCTCCGCCGCCGCGGGTTAGCCTGCCCGCTATCGACAGGCTCGTCGTCCTGGCTAAGAAGAAGGGCCATGAACTTGCTTACCTCACCTTACCTCACCTCGAGGGCGGTTCGGCCCACCATCACGACGTTGTCCTTCCGCACGAGCAAGCATCAGGCGAGTGAGAAGAGGTTTTTGTAACTCTAACACGGATAATGTATGCTGAAATGCTGTATATGTATAACCCTCACCCCTTAATCCTAAATCCTAACGGGGGATGGCGTATGCGGTGTGTTGTACCGCCCTGTACTGCCCTGTACCGCATGGGCGGGTGCTTGACCAGAGATGCCGCACGCACAGTATGGTGACATTCCCGCTTTCGGTGGGCTCAGGTAAGACGGGGAGATTGCTCTGAGCTGCCCTTGAGTCCTTGGGTACCCTGCAGGGTTGACAGGAGAACCCGTGTGCCCCTCGTGCCCTTCACTCCCCCCACCCACCCATCCCTTCCGGGTGTCAACTGGCGGATTGGAGCTGGCCTGCACGATCCGATGCTGGCAGGATGCAGAGCGAGTGTGCCACGAGTCCCTTGCACGGCCGAACATGGGTAGGAAGGCCGGCAACGCACAAAACGCAAGATGCGAGGTGTGGGGTTTGAACCCACGCAGTCTTAGCGACTAGGAGATCTTAAGTCACCCCCCTTGGACCACTCGGGCAACCTCGCATAAGGCCTCACTCAGGCGACAGGATGACAACAAAGTAATAGAAATGTATATAGCTGTATGCTGTGCATATCCTGTGTGTGGTAGCGGTGGTCGGCAGCGACGTGCAGCGATGACCGGCTGTTGCCGGAGGCAGTCAATAGGGCCGGCAGCAATGGTTGGCTATCCACCGAGGCCGCTGATCGGCACTGGTGTGGTCGGCAGTCGGTGGTTTCTTCGTCGGTTGTTGGCGTTTGCTTGTTAGCAGGTAAGGCCGGCGCGCGGCTGCTGTTTTCTCGTAGTCGAACGGATGTCTAGATTGGACTTGACAAGGGCGGTGGCCCGCCCCCACTGTCAGCGTGTGCCGTCTGCTGGTCGCCGAGTTGTGTGTTGTGGAATGCCATGCAGTGGCATGTTGAGGTCGAGGGCTAGGAAGGGGCGGGCTGACAGGACTGATGACGTGTTGAGGACCCCAGGACGCTCCCCCCCCGAAGGCGCTTGGGGGGTGACGGCGAGTGGGGCTCCTGCTCACCCAGAGCACACCGCACAGAGTTGCGCAAGCGTGTAATGTAAGTTCCTAAGCGCTACCCGCGGACGCATGTGGAACATTTGGATTGCAGTAGGGGCGGAAGCGGGGCTTGGTGGCAGGCTTGGCGAGATGGAGCTGTCCATTGCAAAACGGTTTATCCAAGCAGAGAGATGGCCTTGCCACGTATGGCAACCTGCAGCATCAGCCCCAATTTCAGCACATAAGAAGGCACATACCACAGAAAGGTAGCGAACCTGTACGACAGAAACCTTAGTCAGTTACAAATCCATCGTTTACTCGTTTTCGTTTCAGACACCTTCCGTGCTGCCGAACCTTTTGGTCGACACGACGAGATCGCAGCAGGCATATAGAGCATACTTTATAGGAAATCATCTCCTGTTGGATTGATCTATGATTATGCGGGGCAAAACGTATGGCGATATTGGGTGCTTGCGAGCAGCAATTAGAATGCGCCGTGACAAGCCTCATGGGGCATATATATGTGTCCACTTCGTATTATAGTCGAGGAGAAGCGCCTGGGTGTTACGCTCCAGGGTGACAAAGACAAAGCTGCGACGTGCGCTTGTATGGGCGCCCACAAAACTACTAAGCACACGAAAAGATGTGCAATTACTGCTTCCAGGGTTTGTCTTGCTTAGACGATCAGCAGCAGCTCCAAAAATTCATTGACGGCTTTACCCGACGTCCACGCGGTCGAGTTGTGCGGCCGCCAGCAGCGCCCTCGACTACTAGTGCACCCGTACAAAAGACCGAAGCTAGCACAGAGCAAGTGAACGGCCAAGTTAGCAACAACGGCCCTCCCGAGTAGGCCGGAACCCGGATGGGAAGCCTCTCTCAAGTAATCACCTGAATCCATTCTCAGCCATACAGCAGCTCTAATCGTATCACAAAATGCTTGCATTCGGGGCAGCGCGGCTGCTATCGGGCTTCGCGCTCTCCACCTGCAGCCTCGCGGCATCCTCATCCTCATCATCAGCGGGTAGGGCCGCAACTCTCGGCGCCGCTGAGCTCCTCCGCGGCTACTGTGGCGCATGGAAGCAAAGCTCCTGGACGCACCCGTCCACCCTCGCGGCCGGGCCCGGGCCCTCGATCACCGCGCTTGGCGGCTTCAGCACCCGAGCTCCCGGCTCCCCAGAACCTCCCACCAGCGGCAGCAACGCACCCCCCGCCCACGCCACCAGCCCTGCTTCCACCCTCTCCCCCGCCTCCACCTCCGCTACGGGTGCGCCCACGCATGAGACGCCGCAAGCCGCGCCCGCGTCCGCCGATGCCTCCCCGTCTTCCGACGCCGAGGCACCAGCTGCCGCCGCCGCGGCTGCCCCGTCCGGTCCCGCCAGCCGTCGCGACAAGTCCGCGAGTGCGGATGTGGTGTACCCCAGCAGTCGGGATGACAATCTGGGAGTGCAGCGCAATTGGTTCAATGCGCTGTTCACCCAGCTGCAGGTGGGGCGCTGGGGGGTGGTGGGCCGCCTACCTGCCTGCCTGCCTACCTGCCTGCCTGCCTACCTACCTACCTACCTACCTACCTACCTACCTACCTACCTACCTGCCTGCCTGCCTGCCCGATGATGGTATTGATATGACTTAGATGTGCCCTGCTTACGTGTACACATGTGATGACGTGTACATGTGTGCTTACGTGAAACATGCCGCTGCCACTGCCACCTCTGCTGTCGCTGTGTTCAGGTGATGCAGCGGACGGGACTGATGGCGCCGCACCTCAAGGGGCGGCAGAAGGAGGTGTTTGAGGCGGTGGAGCGCGAGTTTGAGGGGCTGTGGGAGCGACACGTGCGGGGCAGGGGCCTCGAGGTGGGAGGGGCAGGGCAGGGAGAGGGGGAGGAGAGGGGAGGGGGAGGGCTGTCATACCCTTACAAGTTACGACCCCCTGCTTCTAAACCCCCCTTTCTGATCGATACCGTTTACGGGTTCCAGCCTATACGTGGATAACCCCCCCTATAAAGGAGCATATCACTCCCTGACCCCCCTTATGTGGACTGCCGTACTCCTCTTACAAGCCTCCCTTCCCTCCCCCCTCCCCTCATCCGACCCCCCTCCCGCTCCTCCCCAACTCCCAGGGTACCGCCCACCGCGGCATGCTGCTGTGCTGCCTGGCGGTGGCCACCCACAAGGTGTTGCTGTACGAGACCGGGGACGACACGCTGGTCCGGGAGGTACGTGGGCGTGGGCGTGCGTGTTCATGTGTGTTTTACATGTCGTACATATCATACATGTCAAATGATGCCACGCGCGTGTCGCGGCTGCTCTCATTTACCGCGGTACACTCCGGACGGCAGATGGATCGCACCATTGTTCCTCCACCAATCCACAACCCCCACCCACCCACCCACCCACCCACCTGTCCTTCTCCACCTCCCACCTCCCCCCTCCGCCTGCCCACCCACCCCCCCAGGTTGTTCGCACCAACCTTGGCGGCACTGCGGTCGGCATCATGATGCGTCTCCACAAGACCCGTCTGTGGCTGCTGCTGAGATTACTGGCGGAGGACCCCTACAAGCAGGCAAGGGGGGGAGGAGGGGGAGGGAGAGGGAGCGAGGGGGCGAGGGGGAGGGGGCGAGGGAAGGGGATCGGAAGGCCCCGGGAAGACTCTGCCGGGTCGCATTGAGTTCCGAAGCCCCGAAACCCTTACCCCCCCCCGTGAAGACCCTAACTCGCCTCAGCCGGGCGGCCCTTCCCATCTCTTGTCTCCTCGCCCCCTTCCCCCCTACCCCTACCCCGCGGCTGCCGGACCCCTTCCCTCCTCTCTCTCCCCTCTCCTCATTTGATTTGCGAGAGCGGCACCACAAAAAGACTGACAAAAGTACCCAACAGATCTGCAGGCGGCCAGTGAGGGAAGGCCAGCTCCCCGCGTGTGCACACCAGCCCATGAACTCCCCTCCCCTCCCCCTCCCCTCCCTTCCCCTGCCCTCCCCCTCTCCCCGCAGCCCCGTCGCCCCCGGCCCCCCGCACTCCGTCCCTTCGCTGCGGTACCTCCTTCATTGTCCCCTCCCCACTAGGAGACAAACCCAACTACCGTACTCCAAAACCCAAAGACCCCGCCCCCGGTCCTCTCCCCTGCTCTCCACCCAGGCGGTCCGCTTCCTGCCATCACTCCAGGGAGACTTGGGCTCGCTGGTAGCTGGGGAGGTGGCGACTGGGGAGGAGGGCCAGGAGGGCGGCATTAGGGGTGGGGTGGGGGCTGCTGGGGGTGGGGTTGGGGGTGCTGGTGGGGTTAGTGGGGTTGGGGGTCTGGGTGTGGGTGAGGCGACGTGGACTGCCCGCAGCTGCGCCTTCCATTCGGTGCTGGCGGCGGAGGGCGCTTCGGAGCTGCTGCCGGAGTTCTGCTGCCAGTTCAGCATGCAGTGGCTGGAGGTGGGCGTGGGCGTGTGTGTGATTGGGGGCGGTTGGGGGAGGGGAGGGGAGGGGGGAGGGGAGGCACCAAAGGGAGGGGGAGGGGGCAGGGAAGACGGGAGAACGGTGACAGTCGGAAGGAGGAGGAGGGAGGGCGAGGGGCAGCGGGGGTGTAGCACAGGGACCGCAGCGACGTAGGTGAGGGAGGGGTTAGGGGGAGGAGGGGGGGAGGAGGGGAAATACTTCCGAGTGTAGTGCAGTGCAGTGCGAGAAAACGGGTAGGGTACAGGTTTGCAGCCACCAGCCCGCCCCGTGTCGTGGTGCGGTACCCCCATCTGCAATCGTTGGCCGGACCACACTCTCCCAAAACCCCCCTAAAAAACCCTAAAGAAGAAACCCTTAAAGGTCTCCTCCGCCAACCCTCCCATCTTCCCGCGCAGGTCTTTGCGCAGTACGGCGTACGGGTGGGGTTGGAGGAGAGCCTGGGCTTCGGGGACGAGCGCTGTGTGGTGCGGATCAGCCGGCCGGCGCCGCCGGGACGGCCGCGGCCGCCCGGGCCCAGCGCTTGATGGAGTCCTTTTGCGGGGGAGTCCTTTAGGGAGACAGACGGAGTTGGAGTCGGGAGAGAAGCAAGAGACGGGTCGCGGGTCACGGTTGCCGCTTGTCGGTTTGGGTTGGTGCCTCGGCTTTGCGGCTTGGGCGGCACTTGGCAGGCAGGCACGAGCAGCTCGCTCCCTGCGTCGGTCGAGGTCGAGAGGAGACAAGAGGCTGAGGGTGTGTGGGTGCCGTCTCATTTGGGTTTCGGGGCGCGGGTGGGATGCCGGCGGAGTGAGTCTGGTAGGGTAGGGATGGGACCCGCGCCGGTGTGGGGGCGGGGGCCGCAGCAGCATTGCAGGACCCTTGGACGCGGCCAACGTAAGGACAGGGAGGTGGGTTGTCTTCGCTCTTGGGCTCAGCGGACTGGCAGCAGGCAATTGGCAGCCGAGAGCTGACCCGTCAGCGCCGCCTGTGTAGGTCCCTGGAGGTCCAGGAGAAGGGAAGACTGGCCCGAGGCCGAGCACGCTCGCCTCCGCGCCCGGCTGGCAGCGTCCGGCTGACAGCGGCGTTGCGATTCGCGATTCGTGA